TTTCTGCTATGGAATCTCCCTTAAAGACTGTGGTATCGAGAAAGTCTATGCTTTTGTCACTCACGTTTGAGGTTAGTTTGATAGAAGGATGGTGGTTGTTAAGAATTTCAAAGAATTCCCAAAACTGTTCGATAGAATAAGTCCAAACCATAAAAATGTCATCCAAAAAGCGTCCGTAAAAAAGGGGGTCAAATGGACAGAGGGGCAACACCTCACGTTCCCACTCTGCCATGAAAAGGTTTGCGTACGAAGGGGCGAATCGTTTGCCCATTGCTGTCCCTGAAGTTTGTAAATATGTTTTACCATTAAATGTGAAATCGTTTCGACTAAGACAAATCTCTAAAAGCTGTAGAATTGCATCGTCGGGTCTGTTTGGATCTGGGTTTCTATTAAAAGCTTTACGAACTGCCGTTAAACCAATAGTGTTATCGATATTGGTATACATAGAAGAAACGTTCCACTCGTGTGAGATTAGGCTTTTCGTGTGTTATGGAAAGATTCACTGTTTGGCTATTCATACTCGCAAATGCTTTCAAGGATAAATGGCGGTCTGAGGGGGTGTCCACGTGGATTTAGGAATAAACATTGTTCTAGCACCACGTGGGGGGTGGTTTCGAAAAAAATATGTGCAGCTAAGATTTCGTTGAAATCGTTCAATGGATGGTCGGAGATAATTCAAGTTAGCTATCTTTGGTGTGGGAATAAACATAAGTCCACAGTCTAAGATTGAATGCTGAAGGGATGTGAGAATTTTGCGGCTCAAGTTAACTACAGTTTGGCCTAGCGGTGGCCTCTCAGTATTTTTATCCCCAGTAATTAGTTTAAAGACTTACTCGATGCTTGAAGCTGGTGTATCCAAAACAAATAGATGCTGTTTGCTGTTTCTGGAGACCATTGAAGATTATCAACTGTTTCGAATTCTTCTTCGTAGGGTGGTAAGATTGTTGCGCTGTTGATACTGGACTCCATCATCATGTTGTTGAGAGTGCTGAGGTTCTGTTGTGCTTTCTTCGAGATTTTATTTGAAATGGGTATACATGTGAAGAGGATCTTGGAGTTTGGGAAGGTTTTGTTGGCTGTGGCGATTAATTTCTGGGCTTGGTTAAAAGAGGTCTTTGGTATCTGATCACGGTTGTTGAGGCCTACATGAAGAATAATGGTAGTAGGTTTGGGATCGTGGTCATATGATTCCAGGATTGACTGTATGTGATGGATTTGGGCACCGGGGTAAGAATGTATTTCGGTGTCTGAACTGGTTTTGGTAATTCGATTCAGGTTAGATGATCCAATTATTAAGGTAGATTTCTTTAGAGCAGGTAGTTTCCATAATGATTTGTCCTTGGTTTGGTGATAATACGGTTTGGTAGCGGATATAATGGTCGTCGACGGTGTGATTGGTACTGGTTTGGTAGTTGTTAGAATTGTAGCATTGGGAAGGGACTGGGATCTGGTTCGAGGAGGGGAAGGTCTGGATACACGTCTCGACTTGGATGGAGACTGAGGGGTGTTTTGCTGGTCCAAAAACGCACAGAAGGAAGAAAGGTTGGCGGATCCTGGATCACGTGGTGAAGATTCAGATGGTGTGGAAGGGGAAGACGAGTCTGAAAGTGAAAAGAGAAGGGGTGTGCCCTCTCTACGAGAGCGTTTACCTATGTCTGCTGGACTAGGAGTAGGTAAACTTCGGGCTCGTTTAGGGGTTTGGTTCGGCAGCGTGGTAGCTCTAGATGGTGCAGGTGTAGTGTCCATTTCAGTTGGTAGATATGGTTACTCTGGTTTTTGTTTCGTTGATTGTTTGGTAGAATTTGGAGATTACAGCTTGAGTGAGACGTTTCCCATAGGAGCGACGGGCCCAGGACAGGGCATGAGAAACGATGCGGTCGACGGCAGGTGATGATAAAGACTTGGTACGAATGGTGGTCAGCTTCTCTTGAAGTGTGGTTTGGTAATGGTCGATCAGGACCTGCGTAACCTTACAGAGCTATGTCCGATTGAGGGATCTATTATTCGCGTCGACAGCGGATGTTTTCATTGCTGGACGGATAAAACTATCCAACTCAGAGACTTTGCGTTTGAAGGTAAACGCTGGTTGGCCTTGCTGTTGAAGGGTAAGGATTGCCAAATGATGGAGGCACTGCAAAACTTGGAAGAACACCTTCACAAAGGGTTCTTCCTCCTTGTGAGTGGGGACTGGTTGGCGTCGGTGGGCTGGTAGTCGTTTCTGTTGTTGGTCAGGTCGATGGTTACCTCTTGATTGGTAGGCTATGTTGTAGGTAGGTCGGCGATGGGGTGGATATAGCTGGATGATTGGTGGTCGGCGATTGGTAGGTGGTAGAGGTCGATGGAAGACAGGGCCGTTGTAGGGTACGTGGTATTGGTTTGGTTGACGATTAGTGTTTCTATGTCTTGCTTCTTGCCAGCGGTTGTTGTAGATGGGGAGCATAATGAAAATAACTTGAGGTTAGAAAGGGGAATGTACAGCGGATGTAACAGGAGGAAACTGTATATGCTAGCGTGAAAATGTGGGGATCAAATTATGCAAATAAGTCAAACTGGGTTTGGGGATATATAAAGTAAGATGAAAGTTATGATGAAAAATGCAAAAATATATATTTAGGTGATAAATAACGCTAACAATGAGGGAATTGATGGAATGTAGGGTGTTTAGGTCTTTTTTGGGAGCTTATATATTGGTCGCATTTTCCCCATGAAATGAAATGGAATGGGGAATCCCCGTGCGACCAATCTGTAAGCTCTAGTACTACTTCAGTGATCGTTCATCACTTTGTTGTTACATTCTTTTGGGATATTGGGATACCTGGATACAGAGTCATTAGTTACCTAGCTTTTGTATAGTCAAGTCAGTTTGTACTTTCACCAAATTGATGTGTTTGAATTTCATATGGTAATCTGGATTCTATTGTATATAGTTTACAGGTATGTTAAAGTGTTTTATAAGCTTAAGTTTCATGGATGAAATTAAAGAATATTATTTTAATAACTTTATGAAAACTTAATATAATTATTAAAATAAAGTTTTCATAAAGTAACCATATTTTGATATTTGTTTGATAAGTACCATTTGTAGAAGTCAATTACATAAGTGTTTTAATTTTAGTTATTTGAATTAATGTCCTGTTTCAGGAATACATTGTGTGGTAGTAATAAGGTGTTATAGTTGTATTCATCTTTAAACCCCACTTCGGGTAAGAGTTATTTACAACTTACGTATTATAAATGTATATCCTAGCAATGCAAACCGGTTTTTAAAATTTTAAATTTTTGGAAAAGTGAATACATCACTAGAATCATATATTATTCCCATTGAATAATCTGGAAAAAAATTTAAAATCGGCTGAAAATAAAAAAAGTTTTTTTTAAAATAGCCGAAAAAGTGACCCAGACCCATATCTCAGTCACCGCTGAAAATTTTTGGCTGAAATTTTGCCTGTAAATGGATGAAGATGAGTCAAATATAATGATATAAATACGAGTATGATATGAATTCTAGTTATGCCACTGCAGCACTCTGAACATGTCGAAAAATCAAGTTTTTTTGAAAAATACTGAGAATCACATTTTCATTCAGTTTCACCCAAGACAATTAGATGCTAATACCCCCAGAGTATATGCTCTCCCCCACCTCACCCTTAGGAGTAAATAATAGACATATTATATATACAACCTTAAAAAAACACATTCATTTATTATAACAAGTATCATCTTAAAAATTAAGCATTGAATGGTATAAAAAAAAGTAACAATAAAAAATCTCATATATAAATAAAAGATTGACCATTCCCAAATTTCTAATCCCTGTTACATTATAAATATCGTAATCTGTGTATCGAAATCAAATCATATAAAATTATTAACAAATTTTCAATGTAACTGAAATCAGTCTCTTTCAGCTGTTGAATATATTATAACATAATAACTAGAATACTTTTAAACCCTAACATCTATTTATCTTCACCGAACACAAGTTTTAGATCCATATTTTTGTAATCAACATGAAGGTTAAAGGAATAGATAGCATCATCATTATCATATTTAACATTGTACCAATGGGGAAATCCTGGGACGACGTTTATTACATGACCACTGTAAAATATACCGTCGGAAAATTTATGTTGAACCCTTTTGTTTACCAGAAGAGGAACATTTCCAGTTGTTTTTTCTATTTGTTCATCCATGTTCAACGCTGTCTTATCTATTTCGCTCAGGTTTTCTTTAAGTTCTAACACAGTCAATTTCACATATTTTCCATCTGGCTGTTTTCTTGAGAAGTTGAAGATTTGTTTATTTTGATGAGTTTTTTTAAGAACCATTTTTCGAAATTTAAGTTGAGCTTGCAATACACTCCTCAATTCTTTGTCATTATCTTTCATTTGTTCCATCCCTTCATTAACTTGATCAGTTGTTTGCTACAAGCCATAATAACACATCTCATTAGCAATGTTTTCTGCCTTCTTTATTCTTTCTGATTCTAACCGATCTAATTGTTTCTTCTTCAGCCTTTGACTTTTCAATCTCTCTTCGGCAATTTCTTTGGTCCTTTTTCTAAATTTGGATCTGATCACTTTTCCCTCCTTCCTAGACTCATCCATATACTTGTCAAAATCTTCTTGTGGCAATGCTTTTAACCAAGAGGCTGTTTTATTGAAAGTAAACATGATGTAGGCTTCATTAGCTAATAGAGAGGCATTCGGTCTAAATGATATCAGATGATCTAACTGGCCAAATACAAATTCTGGTAATTTATTGTGCTTCATTGCAGAAGCCATTTCAGCTCTGAGGGATTCAGATGGATCCCAAAACCTTCCTCCTTGTAAGTGCTCTGGCACCTTTCTTTTTATCAAGGCACTGCAAGAAGTAGCCAATCCTTTTAAAATAGACACAACAATGGGATCCAATTCTTCATTTGGTTCAATAAGGTCCATTAACACCACATCATTCGGATCTAGAATTGTTGCAAAAGGTGTGTCTTCTCCAATAATAAAGTTAACCACAGTCTCATTATTTGAACTAAGTTTGTCTAAAAATGATACCAAGGACTGAAAATGATGGTTCATATCCAACATGTGTCCTGGCTCTTCTATGAATCTCCATATAGAGATGTCACAAGTTTTGACATCAGACCCAATGCTTTGCATCCAGATAAGTAAAGATTTTCTTCCACATCCAATTTTACAGCCTTTAATCGGATATTTGTCACGCCATGTTCACTTTCAAAGAATGTCTTGATGTCATTTCTGTGGTAAAATACAGCTTGGCCTACCAAAAAAATAATGTTGAATCTATTGTGTTTAAATCTCAAAATGTTGTTTTTTCTCTTTATCTTTGTCAGAAATGTTGTGAAGGAAAGATACACCCCATTTTTCTCATCTTCACCTCGTGCAAATGACTTGCTGCAAGTTCTCATAAGTCTGAGAGTTTCGCTTTCAGCTATGTGAAACCTCTTCAGTTCTGGACGAGTTTCAGAACCAATATCAATTCCATCATTGTATGATGGTTCGAATCTCTTAAAGGAGGACTCACAAACATCAGCAAATTCTACAAGCAGACGAAGACCACAAAAGAAATTGTTCATTCTGGAAACGATGGACTGGTCCTCTTCACCCATATCCGAATACTCGTCGAGCACAATTGGCAATATTTCCGTTCTGTATTTTTCTAAAAGAACATTGAATGATTTTTCAGTGCTGGCTCTGTCCGACATTGTATTCTTTATATTGGTCAGTATTTCATAGCCCACGCTGAAATTGTTTCGAGACTTTAAATTTTCACAGCGATTGTCTATGTCAAGCAAAATTTCTTTAAAAGTGTCCAATGTGCACTTAGCACTTTTATTCTCCATCTCCCTCAGGCCAAGAAGGTAAGAATTGTCTTTATCAGTGATTATATTGGATTGATAAGTATGTCCATGTTTTCTGATTTCGATTCTGGTTGCGATTATAAATCCGGTACCGGTAATGTGTTACGGATCCAGTGAGTGAACTGTACAGTGTGAATTAGTGACAATAAGGATATGATTCATTAGTATAGTAAGATCTTAAGTTCATTTTGTTTAATTTTCTGCAGAAAGTATTATTTTGTATTTATTTATTGTATTCAGGTATTTTGTCAGTCAGACCCACTCCATCAAAGAGTTACTTTCTTTGATTATTATTTTCTTAGCCCCACCCCACCCATTTTCTATACAAGTTAATCAATCAACTTGCTTCCTGTTCCCCACCCCATTCTTTTCCTGTCAGAATTACATCCCTTTGGTAAACAATCTATTTTGCCCCTACCACTTCCCTTTTCCAAAAGATTTTTTTTTATATGTTCTGTAACTAGCTTTTAGTTATAAAAATAAATTTAGTATCGTTCGACCTAACCAAACCTTACTTTGATTTATTCTACATTTGATTTATCATTTGATTTATCATTTCATTTTCATTTTGGTTTAAAACTTTACAGACTTTTTTTTCACTGTATACTTAGACATTTGTTTTATAATTTTTCTTTTCATTAATCTATGTTGACTATAATTTAAAAGTTTGACTTTAACTTATGATATAAGTGTATCATGATATCTTAGTGAATGTCTTATTTTCAATTAGCATATTTGTAAGATAATATATAACAACGTTAATTAATTAATTCATTTAATTAATTCACAATTTATGGAATAAATAGGATTGATTATTGTTGTCAGTTACAGTCGATAGGTTTGGTCGGTATACTTTTTGGTCAATGGTGTTCATTTTTTTTTTATATTTTGATACAAATTTATTGGATTAGTGTACTTATATGGTGTGTCGTATGGTATATACTCTATCTATTCTCATTCTATCCTTGGTCTATCCTTTGTCTATCCACTTTCCACTTTGCCATTTACATATTACTAATACCTTGCAAGAACTTAAACTCAATGAATGTATGTGTGTGTATGTATGAAGTTTGTGATATTTTAAGTTGGGTATTTTGTTGGCAACTGTACTAAAAAGAAATTATTTATGTTTTCAGGTGTTTGTACAATTTTTGCGTTTGTGTTTGCGTTGTATTGCGTAAAGGCCTAAATCAGTCTCCGTTATTGTATGAATCAAATTAAGCGTTGCGTTTAATAATAATATTTATAAAAATTCCGATTTTTTTTTCAGATTTAAACATCGTAAAACAAATTGTATTATGTTTGGGGTGTCATATTTGTCTTGATGTTGTCATAGTTGTTTTGTGCTGTGTCATATTTGTATTGATTGTCATAGTTATTTTGCGTTGTCACATTTGTCTTTATTTGTGGTGTATTTGACTTGATTGTTGTCTTATCTGTTTAAAATGGCTAGTGGAGGTGCACGTAGGAAAACCTCAGTAATAAGTGAAGAGGAGAAACAACATTTAGGAAATGCTTTTTCTAATCTTGGAGTTAAACCCCATCCACAGAAAATCCTGAAGAGCTCATAGATTGGATGCATGCACTCTTAGTGAGTGAAGTATAGGTTAGTTCCTCAGCTTCCTCGATTATCAACTTTATCAGGAGATCCTGGTTGCAAAGGTGATACATCGTTTGATATCTGGAGGTTTGAGGTGAGGAGTTTGTTGTATCTCACTCTCCAGAAGCTCTAAAGATGTGTGTATTAATATCTTTGAGAGGTGAAGCTTCTCGAGTAGCTATGAGATTAGGGGAAATTGTAACAGTTGAAACTTTGCTGGCTAAGTTACAAAGTCGATTTGGCATAGTAGAGAAAGGACAAAGTTTATTAGCACAGTTTTATTCAGCAACACAACAGGGAAATGAAACAGTAACTAAATTGGCGTGTAGGCTGGAAGACTTATTAGATAAGGCTAAACTGGAAGGAGAAATAGAAGAATATAAGTGTGAATCTACGTTAAGGACAAAATTTTGGAGTGGATTACGTGATGAGTTAAAAGATAAGTCAGCTCACAAGTATGATAGGACAGATAGTTTTGAGGAGTTGTTGACAGTGGTTAGAATTATTGAACAGCAAGATCTATAAGTACAACGAGTAAATCCAAAGGAATGGCAAAGATGGTACAGCCAAAGACAGAAGACAATGATTTGAAAGCAATGATGGCAGCATTAACATCAACTGTCCAGTCACTGAAGCAAGAAGTTTCAGAATTGAAGCAAGATAGAAAAGAACATCGTTTTACACCACCTGGAGACAACTTGTCATCAGAAGGAACATTTACATGTTACCGTTGTGGTCAAGAGGGACACATTGCACGTGGTTGTCGAATGCCATTAGATGAGAAAAGAAAACCTTATGGTAAACCAGCGTTAAAAAAGTAATTGTCTGTGATGCGGGACAGTCAACAGGTAGTGTAAATAGTCCCGTGAATGTAATAGGAAAGAGTAACGAAACTGTCATTAAGTTAAA